GGGGTGCAGAACTCAAATTCTAGTAAGAAGATCAGACTTAACGGTCTGACTGAGACTGAAGGAACTCCGGAAAGCACGGCCCCTGGATTCTCTATCAGCGCAGAACTAAAACAATTTCCGAGGCCAACTCTGAATTCAGACAGGAATTGGACTGGACTGTGGGACATAAAGTGATACTCGTGAGGAGTGTGCCTCTTAGCTAAAGTAGATACAAGAGACTAAAAGGGCCGCTTCTGTCTGGAGGTGAAATGGGAAGTCAGAGAGGGTTACGAGCTGGCTGAATGGACACAGGGAATCGGGTAGAAAGGAGGAGTGTGCTATCACAGTATGGGGAGAGCAATTAGAGTCACATAACAATGTATGTATAAATTTTTGTACGGGGGAAAAAAAGTAAATGTAAAGCTGATGTAAGGTGTTAGACTACAGTAAAACCTCGAGTTATGGTCGTCTGACTTAGGGACAACTTGTATTTTCCCTTCAATGTTAAGTCAATTTGCCTTCACTTTGAAAGGACTGAACCAATCCCTACTCAACAAATTCTTCATACAATCACCTTCACTTGCTGCACGTGCAGCTTTTACATCATTAAAAAGCTTCGAGCATTTTCTTGCACTAAAACCAAACCAAATCAAACCTGTTGCCATAGAGTTGATTCTGACTCATAGTGACCCTACAGTAAAGCTAAATGACAACCGTATGCACCTGTTCTGACTTACCTACAAATTCTTAAAGACACACTTAGAAAATGAATCCCATTTGTAACCCAGGGACTGCCTGTATAAATGAAGACCGTTTATACGAGCCACACAGGCAGATTACATAGAGTTTATAACATGGTTTTTGTCAGATTAACTCATACCAAACCATGGTCTACCTCTGTTTTTCTTTGGTGATAAAAATATTAGGCTATCAATAATAAAATCCATGGACTCTCTACAGGGGATTCACTAAGAAGAGTCCAATTAATTTAACTATAATAATAATTAACACAGTATTCATTTACTTACACCTACATTTCATTCAAAAATTAATTTGAGATACTACTGTTTTGTGGCATTGAAGAAAAGTCCAATAAATTTCAATCGATGGCACCTACAACTTAGTGGTCTGCTAATGAACATCCTGATATGATGAAAGTATAGTCTTTGTATATTCCAATACTCATATCCATATTAACTGTAATATTCTGTAATAAGGCAGAGGCAAATATTTGATATTTATGTAATAATTTTTCCAAAAGTGAGAAAATGAAGAGGTTACTGAAGGTATTTATTTTACTACAAAGCTAATGAAAAATGCTTAAAATTATTTTCAAATTATCTATTAATCCCAAATTTCTTTTCACACTGGTTATTAATAGAAGTTAAAAATACGTGAAGATTTCTAAGAACATTTGAAAACCAAGACTATTTAATTAGAAGCTGAAAATTAATAATTCTACCATATCAAGATCTTTCCTTTAGAAGAAACTTAGATTCCATCAAAATGTACGATCAACGATTTAACAACCTATTTAAAAAAATCAAAATTCCAGAGCCCAAAGTAACCGCAGACATTATCTATTACACCTTCATAATACAGATGAAAAACTGCATTTCAGAGAGGTTAAGAGGCTGTTAAGAGGCCAGCCACCAACGCAGCTAAGATCACCCAAAGATCCATCTTCAACCTCGCCTAAGGTCCTCAAATGAGGACAATCTTTTTCCTCTGTTGAACCCAACAACACTCTGTACCTCTTGAGGCACTTACATTCTGCACTAAAATAAAGTTATTTACATTTCAGTTTTGACTTTTGTGTTCTTTCTAGATTTTAAGTTTCTTGAAGGCAAATTCTCTACCCTGCTGTTGTTAGTTGCTTTTGATTCAGTTCCAACTCATGGTGACCCCATGTGTGCTGAGTAGAACTGCTCCATGAGGTTTTCAAGGCTGTGACCTTTCAGATGCAGATCCCTAGGTCTGTCTTCTGAGACACCTCTGGGTGGGTTCAAACAGTCAACCTTTTGGCTTATAGTCAAGCACTTAACTATTTGCACCATCCAGGGCTCCTAAGAGAGGATTCTAACAAGATAACAATAAATATTGACTAGCCTAAGTTGGCTGGTCTCACATGAAAAGCTTCCTTTTCAAGGCTAAGTACTTTTAATCTTGATCCACAGGTCCAGCGTCAACAACATTATTTAGAATTTATAAAGGATTTAACAGCTAAAATAATTTTATATCTATTATCTATATCCTTTATCTCCTTAAGAAAGTTAGAGGCAGTTCAGTATTTGTAGTATCTATACTCAGTATATAGGTAAGAAAACTAGTTCACGTTCCCAGATAGTGACAGAACTAGGAGTCCTTTTGAAGCTTTATCACTACCCTGGTGACACAGTGGTAATCAGCTGCTAACCAGAAGGTCGGCTGTTCAAATCCACCAGCTGCTCCTTGGAAACCCTATGAGGCAGTTCTACTCTGTCCTATAGGGTCACTGTGAGTCGGAATCGACCCAACAGCAATGGATTTGGTTTTTTGGTTTGGATCACTACCTAAAACGGGTTGGCTCTGCAAGATAAAGTATTTTGATAATAAAATAAAAATAAAGACATAGGTGTTACAATGGTACCAACAGCTTCTTTTGGCAATGTGGGCATCGACAGCATTCCTAACCCTGCTTGGTCATACTGGTATCCACCTCAGGGGAGGAGTGTAGACGGATTAGTGCAAGTTCATTATCTCTACTGGAAAAACAATTAAAAGCAAAGTTTTAATCTGTTCAGGGCAGGTGTATATAGTAATTTGATCATGTTCATAATCCCCTAACCCTTTAGCATGACTACTAAACTCAGCAATAGGCACAGATCTTGTACCTGAAAAATAACACAAGTCTGTTAAACTATTTCATAGTTAACAGCTACCGTCTCATCATTCAAAACACCCCAACCGTTTGATCTGACAAAAATGGCCCAGAAAACATTTTTAAGTTCTGGTAAATAATGCTTTCTATGGAAGTTTTAAAATTCACCAGTAACAAAGATTTCTATTATAATTGAGATGTAAACCAACCAACCAGCCAAATGCATTACAACAAAATAAAACAAAAAGCAAAAAAACCTGACAAGAATCTAGATGGAAGATAATTTAGGGGGCAGACAGACGTGCACCAAATACTCCAAAACAGCTTAAAGAGTGTGGATGACAGATCTGTTAAGAGGGAAAAGTATGCCGACCATTTAAAATTCCGATACAAGTGAGTCAGGCTCACAAGGTTTTAATCAAAAGGTCTCCAGTTAGAATGACCTAAATTCCATTCCTACCCTCCAACTATAAAAAATAAAAAGTGGTCTCGAAAACAAATAAGACTTCCATCTCCCACAGTCAAACATTATGTTCAATCCTCTAATAAACTGACTTTTAGTAATTAATATTTCAAACTATGCATTTCCTTTATTTAAGGAATTGGAAGTTGCCAGCTATTGTGCTATCAAGCTCACCATACCCAAAGGATGATCCTCACTCTTACAACAAACCAATCTAAAAATTTATCAAATTATAAATCTAAATTCCTCTCTACCTTTTGCTTTCCACAGAATTGTCTTACTACTTTCACTTTCCCAAATAGTTATTTCTAGTATTTAAAAAGGAAAAGAATATTGGTGTGCCTTCACTCTATCTTAGTCATCTGAGTACTACGAGAAACAAGAACCATATCCCCATTGTAGGCAGCCATATCGCCAAGAATATGCTAGAAATTCTGAAAAAAAGTCTAAGCGAATACCGTGATTAGAAGTAAAATAATCTGAATGAAAATTTCTGTGCACAATGATTACTCTGACACTTTAGGATACATAAACTGAATAACCCAACACTTTATTATATGCCTACTTATACTGGTTTATATTTCAGTCTTGTTACTATACTTAGAATACATGTACCTTTACGGAAAATATATTTGCACATGCACATCTAAAAATAATCTTCCCAATGGACAGACATCATTATAATTTTAACAACATATTTTTCATATAGTCAGTACAGCAACCAATTCCAGATTGCTAAAGAACTGCATAAAACCTTCAGCAGAAAAAATACCTCTAAGAGTCAAGGGTAATTCAACAATCTGGTGAGAGAGAAAAATTAATTATCACAAAGAAAGAAACCAAAATCCAAAACCAAACCCTCTGCCGTCGAGTCGATTCTGACTCATAGCAACCCTATAGGACAAAGCAGAACTGTCCCATAGGGTTTCCAAGGAGTGGCTGGTGGATTCGAACTGTCGACCTTTTGGTTAGCAGCCAAACACTTAACCACTCTACCAGCAGGGCTCCAAAGAAAGAAGGGGCTTAGAGAAAGACAGTCAAAAGATAATGGTTCAGATCTGGGAAACTATAAGAAATATTTCAAAACCTGCAAATCTTCAGATCTGGGCATAAACTTCTTAAAATAAGAAGTGTGCAAAATAACTTCACACAGGTAAGAAAGAAGCAGGGAGAAGGAAGTAGATTAAAGTGACAAAGTAAGAAGCATGTCCAGGATATATGACAATAAATTTGTCACACAAAAGAACTTTAATCAGAGAAACCTTCTCTCCCATAAGTGTCATATAAAAGTATTTATGAAAAGGAATTATACAGGAATTAATCGGTTGCCACTGAGTCGATTCCAACTCAAGGTGACCCTACAGGACAGAATACAACTGTCCAATAGATTTTCCAAGGCTGAAATCTTTAGAGAAGCAGACTGCCACATCTTTCTACCCAGGAGTGGCTGGTGGGTTTGAACCACTGAACTTTCGGTTAGCAGCTGAGCACTTCATCACTGTGCCACTAGGGCTCCTTATATGGGATTTAAAATAATGTAATTGTACATCAGAATGTTTACCCCCCATCACTGCAAACCTAGTTACTTACAAAATGAATATTTTTTACCTGATGCTGTTGGAGCTCCTCTTCCATCAGCTACCGCTTTGGAAGAAGGGTATGTAAGCATCTGTGCCTCTTCCTTTTCCACCCTGGGGAACTCATTACGGTAAGAGGGATCTGGGACTACTGGTGCTGTAACTTCCAAACCACGACTTAAATCAAGAGGGAGACAAGGTCCCAGCTTCTCAAGTGACAAATGTGCAACATCAGGCACTACACAAAATAAAGAATGCAATATGATGTTAATAGAGATAAACTGGCTCAGTTAATATCAATGTGGATTAAACTGTCACGTAAGGTAAACGGTGCCTGGCACAAAGATAGCACTCGATAAGCATTTATGGCATAAATGAAGTGCTTATAAGTCCAAAAAGATGTAAGAAGGACAAAGCAGATTTCTTAATATTCTAATAATCTTTATCACTACAGTTTTTTCTTTATCTTCATGTTTGGTTCGGTATTAAATCAACATATACATTACCCTCTGGTACTGAAGACTCGTGCGGGTTTGGGGCACTGATGGAGAATACTTTCCCATCAGTGGCTGGAGAGGGAGCAGAGACCTTTTCTACAGAATCATCAGCCATGGGCAAGGTGGCTAAGCGCTGAGATCTTCTTCTCCGCTCACTATGCTTGAAAGGTCTAGGGGGGTTCACAGGCTGTGGAGGACCTAGAAAAAGATCTTCAATGTTCACGGAGCATATACATACCAGGATCATCATAATAGTTAAGGAGATAAATGGGAAAAAAAGGATTCAAATTCTGCCCTCTGATGTTGCCTTAAGGTATCCACAAGGAACGGAATGTTCCAAAAGTAATCAAAGACAAAAACTGTGCCCTCATTCACAAAAAATGTTAATCAAAATATTCCAAAGTCTAAAACCTACTACAACCAAAAGAAAACAGATGGAACATTAATTTCAGGTAGTTTCCCAAGTGACAGACTATAGATAATTCTCTAATCTCATGGTGTAAATTTTAATTTTTTCTTTAGGGAAAATAGTCTCTTTGTATCAAAAGACAAAAAAACATATATATCCCTTTTGCTACATTACAAATCTAGAAATTCTAAGGAAAAAAAAGGCAGGGGCATATGTGACAAAACGTGACATACACTGTAGTCAGTACTTTGCTTTACTTGCCAAAGGAAAACTAATGTAATTTTATCCCACCCTCATCCCCCCAAAGGATTGCTATCAACATATTTCTGGGCCTGATTCATTAAAAAAAAACTGAACACAAACAACTTTAAGTACTTATTATGGGCAAACAATGAGAATTTTAAAAGAATATGACACTGTTCTTACCCTCAAATACTGTTGCTTTTTACAACTAACTTAGTCATTTAAGCCTATTCTAGCTACATAATGCACAAATTTGGAAATGTGTCATTTTTTAAATTTTTGTTAACCTGTAGGTGTCTTCTTTCTACATGGCATGCAAACACATTTGACTAGTCTAGGCAGGGTTATACAGGTACACATATTCACATTAATTTAGAAGGGAATTAGAGAGGTCTGAAGAGGTTGATGCTTTCACTACTGAAAAGTTTAACTTTATAAAAATTAAAATGAAAAAGACATGGTAATAATTGAAAAGAGGAGAAAATAAAAATCAATTGCTATAACACTGTGGTTATAGTACCAATATATTTAAAAATTTCAAAATACAATACCAATGCCATGTGACAGTGTAGTGACCACTAACAATATTATTCCATGATAAATGACAAAATGAAATGAAGGTTATGAGGAAACAATGAAATTTTTCTCTTCCCATCCTTTCTACCCATTCATTGAAAAGAACAAACAAACAACAATTGAAAAAGCAAAAAACCACCAAAAAAAAAAAAAAAAAAAAAAACACCTGATCAAAAATTGAAAAATATGGTTTGGTGAAAAACATGGTAATTGAATGGAAGAGGAGGTTAATATGCTTAATAAAATCTTCTCAGTGCCAACATCTGTAATTGTTCTGGAACATGTAAAATACTGAATAGTTCATAAGGAAATGTGTCCTATTCATTTACTAATCATGTTACTGATTCATTTGTTGTATAAAGAGCAAAAGTATCTTTTATCCAGTGACATTCCAGATTAACTGTTTGTCACATGTCTCTAACTTAGAATTCTAAGCTAATACGAGAAATGTAGGGTCTTATATATCCAAACCCATGTTGAAAGACTATTTTTAAAAAGACTAACTCTTGAAAGATTAGTAGTACTGAAATAGCAAAATCTTTTAAAATATGATCAAGGAAGAGCCTCCTTTTTTAATTAATAGAATGAAACTAAAGCTTACACTCTAACTCCTAGAATCAGAATGAGTAAAATGTATTGCAGAAAGGGATTACAGAGTAGCAGAAACACTAAATAAATCTATCCACTGCATAGTCCTGGAAGTTGAGAAAAATATCCACCATGGATCTCTTTATATGTTTTTCTTTCTGCTGTTGTTTTTTTGTTTTTTTTTTTTTAATAATGAATCAGGCCTCTCATCACGTTTGGCTTATTAGTTGAGGAGAGTCAAACTATAGCGGAATTTGTGTTATTAAATGGAAAGGTTTCTCAACCAGCAGTACAGTCTCTGCACAATAAACCAGTCAGAGATGCATATGGTTTTTGCCCATGAAAAGTTTCAAGCCTTCCCTACCGTATCCACTTAAGTTTGAGTTTTTAAAAAGCAACCTTATAAAAATACAATAAAACTATAATCAAAACTGTTTTTAATGTATCTTATAGGATAAGCAACTATTTTTTAAAAATCTGTGCTCACTAGTTTTATTTATCACTGAAGAAGAAAGCTGAGATACAAGCGTCAAATCCTCGACTTGTGTTAACTCTGGGGCAAGTGGTGATTTAGGGGGTTTTATACACCCAGAAGACTCTCCAGATTCATGTTTGCATTTCTTGCTGCGAGCCTTCCCTGAAGACAAAGTTGAGGATAACAGTGCAGGTTTCTGAGTGTTGGCAGAACTGCTAATGTCAGCTTCATTGTTTTTCTGACTTTGAGGTTTAGGTGAAATCGCCTGAATAAATAATAAAAAATTGATATTTTTATTTTGGTTTCTTCATTTTTGCTCTTGTATTCTACTTTGATTGTTAAGCAACTTTAGTATCCAAAAACATTGTTAAGCAACATATAACATTTCTATTACAAATGAAAAACCAAAAAGAACCCCACAGATTATTAACTAAAAGTTGAATAGGCTATCTTTAAAGGGATGCTGTCAACTTGTAGTCTAAAAACTTTTTAACATGTTATTCATAATATTCTCAGAATAGAAAATGTTATCTTGCTGGAAAAATATTTTCTGTATTAAATTTAAATATATCCCTTTTGGTACCATTATTACCAATGACATTAATAATAATCAGGTAAATAAACAGTATTTCATGTATTAGTGTCAAAGGAATACATTTAAGCTTTTGATTTTCAGATATTTTCTTAAAATTTCCTTAATCTAACTGAATGTGAAGGGCTAAGTAACAGCTTCCCTTTAAAGAAAGACCTCAACAGAAAAACAATGACCAAATTAACGAAACATCATCTTTAACTCATTTTAGTGCTGAAAGCCAGAGTTTCATAAGCATAATGCCTCATGAAATCAGAGCCATCAGCAATCCAGAGTTAAAAGACTAAAAAACAATACAAAACAAACAACAATAACAACAACCAAAAAAAAAGGAGATAAAGTGTAAGTTAAAAACATCGGATTTAAAAACAAAATACGTCGCATTCTTAGATGAGAATTTTTACCTTCTTCCTGCCAACTGATAATTTTAAAAAAAAATCAGAACTTTGTCAGTTCTTTCATAAAGAATATTTTTCATTCATTTGGCAGTAAAATGTCCTACATATTAAAATGTGTGTGAATGTGTCCACTGTTCAGAGATAAAAGAGAATAACGACATTGGGTGAATTTGCAAACTATGGTATTAGAATGTCTATAGTGTGTTCTCTTACTGATGTACGCATCTGAGAGTAAAATACATGAGATGCACAATTTTCTTTTAAATTTATACTAAAATAGGCCTCTGTAAGAGTCAAATTGTTAGCACTATGAACGACATGCTTGTCCTCAAGAAACCTCTTTACTTCCTTGTCTTTTGTGAGGGTGACCATCAAGTCTGCAGTTCTCTGGAGTATGAGAGATCACTGTCTGTGGACCTAACAAGGTTCTGTTACCGCTAAAATATGAAGGGGTTCAAATTTTGGTGGAAAAAAAGTACATATTTGGAATTGAGTAGGGCACCTCTGCTCTACAGATGGCATGTTGGACATACCACATAAAGGCCTGGTGTCAAATGTCCCATTCGTTCAGTTGTCATCATTTCTATTGCTGAATTTGCTGTTATACATGTGTGTCAGTGCAGTTTAATAATTTGAAAAAGTACTCCATAAATGGAAAGTACTCCTAAGCTCATCATAAAACGTGTTGCCAGAAAAGTAATTAGAGCCATTACTTGTAAATAAACAATTTTATTGTTCATCTTCACATATGTGAAAGACATCACTACAGCATCCATTACTCTCGAGTTACAAAGTTATAAAACAAGATTTTAAAACTTAAATTAATATTTTGATAAGGTGCTTAACTTCTAAACAAGGACAAATTAACAGTTAAAAAACCTTACCGAGTTATTATGCAACTAATGCAGGTTTTATTCAAAAGTAAACATAACATGACATAGCCCTAATACAATTAATCTATCATTAATAATCTGAGAATTGGGGTTCAAGACCACAGAGTTCGACTATTTTAAAAATATAAATAAAATGACTCCATTAGCACAGCAAGTTTTGGCTACAGGCCTGTTATCAGTCTATGACATGAGTGCATTGTTTTACTCATCAGGACTACAGAGGTAAGTGACAATCACTACCTCTCCTTTAGGTCTATGGTTGACACCAATAGAGATGTAACCTAGGGTTTTATAACTCGGCTTTTTAAATTTGAATCAGGACTACCGTTTAGCACAAAAATTGTTACAAAACATTTTCACACTAAAATTGACCTGAGTGACAAATAAAAAAGGTGGGAATAGCACGATGTTCCTTAAAAAATTAACCTAATTTACAAAGTTTCATTAATGATTATTGGTCTCTTTGTTACAAAACTGGCAAGATACTCAGACAATTTTTAAAGTATGCAAAATGGAACAGCCGAGTTACTCAGTTTTTCTTTTTCTAAACCCCATTTCGAAATGCTGCTCTTTGTATCTCTCTGAAATGGGCACTGCCCTCCACACTAACTTCCATATGTTATAAGTAATTTTCACAATCACATTCACCTCAGCAGGATTGTGCATAATGAAAGATTGACATTGTAATGAATTTTCCAGAAACATTTTATTACCCAAGTCCCTGATTTATTGCACTCTGAAAATACCATGGTGAAAATACAAAATATTGTTATATCTGGGACGTTAAACGTAGTAATACACAGTAAAAAAAAGTCATTTAAAATTTGGTAGAGATATTGACAATAACGGCAAAGACTTAACCGTTTGATGATCACAGAAAATCGGAAAGTATGATTCATTGACATATTAATCAATTTAAAAAACCACTAATTTAAATACAACATTAATGGAGGCACCAAACAATGCACTGTTATCAAATCAGGCCTGAAAAACTCAATACAATATCAATTAAATCTGGACTTTTTAAAAAATGTATATAGAGAAGAGCAAAAGATAATTCATTCTAAAGTCTTCTTTATTGGGCTACTAATAAAGAAAATTAAGATAATACAAAAAGATATATTAAAACTACATTAAGGCTCAGATTTTAAAACAGGAGAACCAAGGAAATCCAGTTATGGCTATTACTGTGTTCTTACAGTCTTACAGTGCCTAAGAAGTTAAGCCCTTAGAGAATGTAAAAAGCATGCACAGTTCACTATGTACAGGTATCGTGGGAATCTGAAGGTAGCCAAGGCGAAATCTAGCAACTGCAACCTTCACTTTTAAATTCCTCTATTAGGTGGTTTAAAGACAGACCCTTAATAGTTTTTAAACTCTCTTTTTTTGTGTAGTTATTAAAATATACATCCTAGCAAAAATGTATGGCTCATCAATCAATTCATAAAACAGTCAAACAACACCAACTGTTACAATATAAAAGAAACTTCTTCAAAAGAAGCTTTATTAGATGTCAAAAACCCTGTTTTAACTCACAAATGAAAAGTATTTGCATAAGGGTCTTTTTGTAAGCGAGTTAAAGGTGATCCAGCTGTAAGCATATACCCTGGGATGTCTGTCTCCAGGCCTTCAAATTTTGGAGACTAAGGCTTTAATGCCAGTCTATTGAAAACAAGAGCTAATGAAGTCTGTAGCTCATCTGTATACCTTGGAGAAGGGAGAATTAAAAATATATCATCACTTAATTAGCTTCCTATTCCCATATCTGATCAAAAGTGTAATTTCAATTACATGGATACTATAGCTCCATGAGCACTCCAGTGGGAACCTTGAAAACAATCAAATGCTACCATTTCATACCTGCTCCAGCATTGGAGCCGTTTCACTGGAGTCTTCCTTTTTTTCAGCACCATCCACCCCAACAGCTTTGGATGCCAACAAACCTTAAGAAAAATTGTACAGAAATTGCTTATTAGAAAAAATATTGACTTTCACCCTAATTCTCAAAAATTTTAGTAGTTGATATCTCCCATACTCCTTTATATAGGAAATAAATACACCAAAATGTTTACTTGATAAAAATACAAAAACCTCTAATAATGAGTCAAGGGACTGAATCAGAACTTGAGAGTTGCTGGTATAATTTTGTATTTTTTTTAAATATTGCTCTTAAAGATATGCTTTAAAAAATTATTCTGTTAAAAATAAAAATTCTGTGGCTTAAAGTCTAGAAATCTAAGATTGTTTAGATTGTTAATACCAACAATAATGGATTTGTCTATGCAACTAAAATAAAATGTAGAATTAATATTACTAAGATACGAGAAATCCTTCCAAACATTTACAATATAAACTAAGATTTATTTTGTTCGTATCATATTCCTGGCTTAAAAAATGCTCCCAATTCTCCATTTCACCTGTATCCTTTAACATAAGCTTTATGTTATTCTTCTCTTCTAAAAGTATTTTCAAACGGCCAATTGTATCTTATCTTCTTACGTTAGTTCCCAAAACACTGATGGATCTATTTTTTTTGCTGGGGGCGGGGGAAGTGTGGGTCCTTCCTAGAACATTTGAGCTTCAACTTAATATTACATTCTCATTCTACAAATGATGAAATAATTTGGGAGTTCCAGTTTTCTCTAATGTATATCACTAATTCTCAATTTCAGAACACAAATATTTTATCTGAAGTACATATAATTAATTTTACAAGACATTAAAACTCTATTTTAATTAAAAAACAAAAGCCATTTACTTAGTTAAGATTCTTTGCTAAGACTGTCAGGTACCTTCAATGCAAATATTTTAGTTTTTACGTATGCCCATCCTGCACATAACAGGCCACCAAAAATGATTCTTTTTTTGTGTCATTTTAATGTTGGCCAAACAAAACACTTGCTTGATAGGAAGCGTATTTAACAACCAACAGCATCACAGTGAACTGACTATAGCAATTATTCCATCTATATTACTGAAGCCGTCTACAGCATTGTTGATAGGAAAAAAGGTACCCAAAAATGTCATATAACTTAGAACAATCCACATGGCAACATCTCTTGACTTTTTCAGATAACTATCTCAAAGACGTTAACAGATCTAGGAAGCGAATGAAGTATTAAAATTATATTCTTAAAGAAGTACTAGACTCAAATGTTAAATTAGCAAAAGGCATCTTTCCTTTACTGGAAAGTAAAATACTAGCACTCAGAATCATAAAACAGAAAAAGCTGAGGGTAAAACAATGATTGAGGTACACCGATGATTAGGATTAAAACCAGTATTTGGCCCATTTTGAGATAACCATCTATATAGTTTGTTCCAGTCTTGTACAATACCAAGTGTAGATCTGAATGGAAAAAAAGCATAACATATATAAACAATTTTACAAAATTTACAAACCATAAATTCAGTCCTAATTATATTAATACAAATTCCGAACATATTTTTACATGACTCAGAAAGATGTAGCATGCAACATTTAAAACCTATTCATTAGCTTTCCTCTCCAGTGAATATTGTTGAGAATCAATGAACTACTGAAATAAAAAAATAATAATTAGGGAATCAAGTTCTTCTTTCGTTGGGAACTATTAGAGGTTCTAAGAGCTATTCAAATGGGACAAAAATTTGCTATTCAACCTGTTAAATAATTACTTCTAGTTTTTATTTTGTTTCCTTACATATCTATAAGAAGTAGAATACTTGTTAATACCCATAGTAGATGGAAAAAATCACAAACTATAAAATTAAAAACAAGGTACTATAAGAATCAACAGAAACAAAATAATTGTGAGCAATACTCTGTAAATTTACAGCATGAGAATATTATAGGTTCAATTAATTAAAAGCGGTTCCCATTTAATAGCTTGTGAAGAAAAAAATAAAGCCTTTTGTTATGTGCTCACAGAAAGTAATGGGGCATTTAATAAAAACTACTTAAAATTTTGATTAGAAAATACAATCCTTGGTATCTAGATAATTCAAAAGTCCCAATCATGATCAATAAACAGGTTTTATACTTTACATGCGTACCAACGTACAAGAGTTATGAAATGAAAATAACAAAAGAGACAATAATAAAAGAGGTACATGAATAGAGAACTCTGGTTACTTCTGCCTTAAGAGGCAGCCCCAAATCTGTTTATCTTGACCTGCTAACATTCTGGGGAGGCATACACTGTTCCCACAAAATGAGAAGAATTATTTGGAGGGAAATAGATACAAATGAAATTAATTTTCATTATTAGCAAATACTTATTATCAACATATTACCAACAGGCCCTCCTCCAGAACAGTGTGTGTATAACACTAGGCAATTATCTTAACAGAATGCACAATGTATTTTCAAGAAATTATTTAAACATTAGGTAGAAGCAGAACATCAAATATTCATGAATCCCACCTGCCAACACAGTCACAAATTTGCAATACCTCACTTAGCTATAAAATACACAGTGGTCTCTCCCTGCCAGGAGGAATAACTAGAAGAGACGCCAGAGCTTCCTGGAATGGCAAAGGTGAGCACAGAAAGAGCAAAGTAGTTACATTCTTGGTACACTTTTCACCGAGGGGTTTCAAAACACAATCTTCTTGCTAAAAAATAGTAACATACTGATCTCATTACTAATAACATACTACTGGTCCATTTAAACCTCAGAGTTTTTTTAAATGATTTTAAAATTCCTTACTCAGCACAAACAGATCTAAGCTGGCTGACCTTCCAGGAACTCTTAGAAACGCACCAGCATCAATTGCTGATGTTTCTTCTTTTACTCCCTTCACAACCTGTATTCTAAACTCTACTTAAATTCAGTTTGCTCGCAACTTTCTCCCGAAGTATGGCCTGATTTTCTGTGTAAAGTGATCATTATAAAAAATCAGTATGCAAAAAAGCATATCACTATCAACAAGGTACATTTTTACATAATACAAAATAAGATCCTGGAAAAACATATATATCTATATATATATATTGCAAATATGTTCTCAATGTCTGCCTATTAGGAAAATTTGAAAAGAATCACCTTGATACTACCCTCTATACAAAAATCAGTCTCAGAGTCTCTCCAGGGGTGTGTATGTGCTGAAGGGAACAGAAAGAGAGTGAATAAATATATGAGTCAGACTTATCAAGTAGATGGTTCACCCACTGTCAACTAGGAATTTACTATTTAAAAGAAATATAAAATGGAGTGAGAGGAGATACATCAGAGCAGGCTGTGATGCTGCCAAGATCCCAGCCCTACTCCTCTCAGTTGTAAAGGGACAAAAAAACTTGTATAGGTGAGTCTGATAAATTTGAAATACACCATAATTCCACAACAAAATCATTATTTTACATTAGCTCCCTTTTTTTTTTTCATGGATTACAAATGAAACATACAGAGGCAAGTCTGAGTTTCAACCATCGAAAACAATCTTACAGCATCTATTGTCCTTTTACATCATATAGGTGTAACGTGAAATCAGAAACAGATGCAGAAAGATTAACTATTTTAAAAGATTATCACATACTTTAAACTTCTGAGTAAATAAAGAAAAAGATGGTATTGGTTTGACATTTGTAAAATCTTATGCTTTTCTGCTGTTGTCCAACTAGCACTTGTCTGTCTGAGATTCCCAAGAGAAAACGAAGAGTCCCTCCACAGAAGTCGCGGGGTACCACTAAGCAACCAGTACTGTAACTTTTCTGAGGCACACGGTAAAACGGTTCTCCTTATCCCGCTACTGTCTTTTCAAGGCCACATACAGATAATGCATCGTTGTGGACTCAGGTGTCGTCTTCTTTAAACAGCAAGCTTGAACTTCCCAGTCAGGCACGTGTAAGAGTATACTGACTACAAGAGAAATGAGGTTATTGGGAGTGAAGGAAGAAACCACGATGCTGGTAAGCCGACAGGTGTACTGCACTAGCGTGACCGCCCTCTTCTTTGACGTCTGCTCATCCAACAGTGCTGTTCCAGTCTCTGTACGACAGGAGTCAGAGGTGCTGTGCTCCACTTCTGGCACAGCTGGCAGCATGGAGCACTGGGTCCTGTGTTCTAAGGCAAAACTGAAGTCTCGAGTTGCCATCGTAACAACTACTTGGTAACATTTTGAATTTCTCTAAAGCTAATAGCTTCTAAGGAATAGGTAGAAAGGGTAAATCAATTTGAAATAGTTCCTGTCCTGTGGCCAAATATATCCTTTATCAAGGAAAAGCGTGAAAAGAAATATACACTAATGGAAAGTGAACACATATTCTCATCTGTTGAAACCGATTATAATCAAGTGGAGCAACTCTACAGGAAAACAGTGGCTCTAGTGAACTGTCAGCTCCAGAGTCATCTGCCAGTGGGCCTCCAATCACACGAAAACGGCCAAAATGCTTACATTTATTCCTGGGTCTGACAATGAAACCAAGCTTCTTCCAATTATTGAAATAAATGTCAACAAAGGTTTGCAGAGCTTTATTAGGCCAAAGATGCTAAAAACCACTTGTCCTTAATATAAGAACATGACTGCATAAGTATTGTAACTCCTCTATTAACATATACTCAGAAAAATAAAATATGTTCACAGTTTCTTTTAAAGACTAGAATCGTTCAGCTGACTAGGCCTTGGAAGTCACTGGGCCTAATATGACTGGCCTCATTCTAATAACACTTCAATTCCATTTTCTATGAACATTAACCAAGCTAGGCTTTTCGGTGTTTTCCATCATCCTAACACTGCTACTTCCTAAATTACATGAAAACATAGAGAAATAAGCCCCAATATTAGAGACTAACCAGAAGGTAAGGGCAGAAATGAAAAACTCAGAAGAGTACTTTTAACAACAGGAATAAGCAGATTCAAGAACTGAATTTAATTCAGATATTAATCTTTCTAACCATACATGGTACCATCTTCAGGTGAGACTGGTCAAGAGTAAGAATGTTTGTATAAAAATACAATAAACCTCAGGAACTATGTTACCATAGCTTGACAAAAGTAGATTAATTCAACTCTTATAGAAATTACTCCTACCACGAAAGAGATTAAAGAACTGTGGAATTTTCTAACATTTGACCTAATCAACCCCCACCACATCCCTGTGAGATAGGTAAGAGGTAAGTGGTATTTTCCACATTTTACAACAGAAGAAAACTGACAGACTTGAAAGGAGGTAACCTTAAAGAATCATAAACTAAGTGTCTTTCTTGATAACCAGTTCATTACTCTGAACCAAAAGATGAATTCTACTTTATTAAAAGTAAACTACTCTAAAATTAAACCCTCTATTCCCCCAAAAAAGGAATCATTGTAGTTTACCAGTAATCTTGTTAAGTCGAGCTCTCTTTGCCTGAAATGAGTTGCCTTGATTATTTTTCCTCTTGTTTGATAACGTGCTCTCTGGCTGTGGAAAGACCATCTTTGGAACGTGCTCTACATGAAGTCCTACTTTTAATAGAATAATATATTAGTTGATCTAGAATCCAAAATTAAGACACATAAAATTTAAGTATAAAAATAGTATAAATGCTTTGAACATTATTTTTTAATCTAGTGCTTGACACAGAACTGTAAAAAACACAATCTAATGTCCAGATTGATAAATGAGAAACAAAAGCAGGAAGATAAATGAATTACTGTTTCTTTCCATATTATGCATTGAAATACTCACAGAGGCATTTAAAAAATCAAAGAAAAAAAACACAAAACAAAACAATAAATAAAAACCTACTACTGAGAAATTACAAATCAAAATCTCAATTTGTTTCTAATCAAGAATACTGAGGGCATTCAATACAAGTGCCCACGTTAGACCATCAATCATCAGCTCTATCTGTAAGATGCTAAAAAAGTGAACCATCATAGAGTGCTGGGGGGAAAATCCTAGTAATTTAATTATACGTACAAAATTACAAGTATCCAAGGGGATCGACTCATTCACTATGCGAGTTTACCACTGTCACAAGGAATGAACATAAGAGAGTATTTTGTACCAAATGTTTCACTAGATGTGGGCAGATCTTCCTTCTTCTCAACCTCTGGTGTGGCTGAAGGAGTCGAAGTTTCTTCCTTCTTTGAAGGTACTTTAAACCATTTTCTCTCGTCTTTATCTTTATTGCTGTTAGCACTGGTTCGAGGTTTACTCCCTGTTTTATTCTTGGCTGCAGCTGCAGCAGCTGCTTTCACTAAAGCTATCCAATCCTCCAAAGGAAAAACACAAAACATGTGAAGCATTAAAAATTAATCAAGATGTAACAACCCTAATGAATAAAAATGTATGACATTTTCAAAGCTACTTTCACACATGCACACAAACATAAACCCATTTACAAGATGGCTCATCAACATGGTAGATTAACAAATTTAATAACCTAATGGATTAATGGGTTGAATAATCTTCCATAAAATAGGAAAATAATCAATAATTAGTATTCCTTTGATATATTTTCATAGGAATAAAACATAAAATAACAGAGAAGAAACCTATCACAGATATGGAATACTACATGACATTCTGCCAGGGTACTTTAGGTTTTAAATGCTGAATTGCGTTTCTTTTCCATAATACAGCTGACAGTAAAATAAAATGATTATACTGCAATTCCACAAAGGTTAAAAAGAATATATATCCACTGAGCGAATGATTATTCCTCATTAGGAAGAACGTACCATTTAAAATATAGTCAATTTTAATGGCAGTCAAGGTACAGTTTATTTTCTAAAGTTTTTAAAGTCTGGATGTCAATTTATCAAAACAGTCTAATATTATTGATGAAGGAAAAAAAAAAGCTACTTGACTTGGCCAAGGTCAAGTACACACTGTCAGTCTCCAGGTTAATTTCTGGGTCTACGTTCGTTACCATTCTTCTGATATGCTAATACTTATTTCTCCTGTGTTAATTTTTTTTTTGTTTGCTGCTAAATAATTTTCATGGCTTTATTCTGAACTAAAAATGCTGACTGTAAAAATTATGGAAAGACATAAAGAAGTAGTAATAGCATTTTAAATTTTTTTTTAAGCAAATATTGGTAAGGGCCATTAAACTCTGTAAAATAGAACACCAATTCAGATTCAACCAAAATGTATAAATCCTAGTCCAAGCAACTAAAAATAATTTCACATCAAATCCATTTAATTGACGAGTCACATTAACGAACATAGGCCATCAAGCAACACAGGCTGATGGCTAGTCAGTCTTGAAAATACATAGTAAAGACAATACGCCACTAAAACAAACAAAATCATGTCTCTCTCTCTCCCCATGACTGAAATGAACTGAAAACATGATGTGATTGTACTTAACACATTTATTCATCGATTTTCTATTAAATACCCTGCGCTGCATATGCCAGGAACCGTGTTAAGCACTCATCAGATAACAGTTGATAAAAATCTGGTTCTACTCATAAGGAATTCAAAGGCAAATAAAATTTAACTCTCAGACAATGTGACAGAAAATGTACTAGAGGAATGAACAAAATATCATCAGGGAGCAGAAAAGAAAAGACTAATTCTGACAGAGGAGAAAGATCAGTGTAAGTAAGGCTTTAGAGAAAAGGTGACAGGTGAGTAGAACCCTGAAGGATACATGGAAACTTGCTAGGGGAAAGGACAAAGAAAAAGGAGTAAATGGGCACTCCAAGCAAAAGGAAAATGTTAAACAAAGGCACTGAAGTCAAAGTTTATTAGAATGGAAAAGAGTGGTCTAAGTCTCAGGAAGCAATGTGGGTAGCTAAAAGCATTATAGCTAAATTGAGACCTGAAATGAGTATCTGTTAAGGGAAGAAAGCACAACAATGAAAAACACTGATAGCAGTCAACAGCTAGAAAGAGAAAAAAGAGCAACCAGAGGAGCAAACTAAAGTGTTAATACAGCAGAGATCACATGTTTGGAGTGTTATTAAGAGCAGAGCAATTTAATCCTGACCCATATTGTGGGGGAAAAAAATTTAAGAAGAGAAATGCTGAAAAATACCAGAGGTAATTTCCATTTCCAGTTGTCTTCTACCTCCAATAAAGAGAAAATCAGAAGCGAACTACCCTATCTTTTGGAAGTTAAATTAGATATTAAAAAATTTTTTTGATCATATGACATTAATCATGGGAATCACTGCAATGATGTGATGCAAGAATTCTTTTGCTACTTTATTTTGCTACTGTATTTTTAATCAGGAAAGATTCACTGTCAAATATAACTGAAGTGTGATCCTTCCATGTATTAGAACTAATAATGATATACTTCAAAGTTCCTTGTAGATAACAAAGTAGTATACTAAAAAGAGCACTGTGTTTGAAATCAGAACATCTGGGTTCAAGGAATCAATCTGCATATAATGGTTGAAAAAATTTTAAGTCAGTCCTTTAGTTCTCTAAATTATGAATTCTTCCACTGTGAGATAGAAATATTAGCCATACCAGTGTCAAAGGATTTGCTATGAGAAGAGAATCCCATACAACAATTATGCAAAAAATGTTTTGTAAATATAAAGGACCTGATAAGCTAATCTTTAACACTAGTGAGTTACAATGTAAACTACATACACCCTCTCCTCACTTTATCAACGTGGTTTCCAAAGACCAGGTCATTATACTAAAATCATTGTTAAGCGAAAATGGAGGATGACCACATCAGATCACAAAATGGAGGATGACTGCATCAATACATAACTGCCAAATTATATCATTACATAACTGCTAAACCACTGACAATCATGTCTCAGCCAAGCTGACACATAACCTTAACAATCACAGTCAGCATTACTCTCGCCTCACCCCTCGGCATTCGTTACTGCCAGATGTACGTCGTTAATGCACAAAATAGACAGATAGCGGATTATTTACTACTATCGTAAATGGTAAATGTGGGATAACAAGACAGTCATCTAAGTGAGGAGGGGGTGTATCATCAGCATACCTCAGGGGGAAAAAAGGACGGGAAGATAAAAAAACAATTACTTCCTCTGTTATGTGCCCTCAATTTAAACATATAATGGTTTAATCTTTCACCCTGTAATTATCGCTGCTATGCTTTTATTAGGGTGGAATATCAGAGGTAACAAGAGTTGAAAGTAAAATATCTTATTACAAGGAGGAATCAATCCTCACCCTGTAATATATATCAGTCTCACAGCTATTTATGTATCCAATACTACCACTCCACTCAAAATGATATAAAGGAAGAAAGAAAGGAAAGAAGGAAGGGAGGGAGAGGATCTTATTTTGGACAGTCAACATGTCTACCATATCTTTTTTCCTAGTGAGAAAAATAAGTCTTTGGATAGACTATAGAAGGGCCACAGGTGACACATCATCCACTACAGTATGAAAAGCTCTTTAAGGTACTTGAGGTAACCTCAGAATGCAAGGTGAGGTCTACCAGAATAAACCAACTGGTTCAAAGTCAGAGACAACGGCAGTTAGGCTTTTATTGAGGCTCAAGTACATTAATTACTCTGGAAGTTCACATATATAAAATTGTTATTCATGTCATATTTTTTACAGGTGCTGCGGAAAGTTTAGGGAAGAGCATTTCCACAGTGCATTTGCTTGATGTATTATTCTTTGCTAGCTAATAAAAGAAATTTTACTTTTATCCTTATAAAGGAATTCTTAATCTGCAAAACGGGAATTCTATTAGCACTGCCCAAACCACCTGATTATAGTGTATTTTCTAGATGAAAACAAGTCAGAGACTTGTTAGGAAAATAAAATACATTCACCAAATGAGAGTGTTTTATATATATAAAAAAACTGTATAAACATTTTAATGTGCCTACAATTAAAAATATTTTTGAAGAAAAAATTAAAAATTAAAGGAAATATACTAGTACCCAAAGTTTTTTCAGTAGTTTTGTATTTTGGCATGGACTTTAATGTTAACATACATCATGATGGACTAAAATACTTATTAAACATGAACATGCAATATAGCCAATAAAAATAAACCCCAAAATTAATTTTTACAACCTTTAATTTTACCACAAATCAAACCGGCTGAATGTCCCGCTTTAGAAAAGGAAAGCCTTAAGGCAAATATTAGTGTCATCTCAAGGGCATCTGAATATCCAGAGTAACAAAACAATAGTCTTAAAGCAAAAAACAATAGAAAATTCTGTTTAATTAAACAGGTAAATATTAAATTATGTTCCCAATGCTTTCAACTATCTTTCTACGCAGTAACCAAGAAATCACACCACTGAATGCTTAAAATAACATTTTATTTATACATACAAGCATGAAGACACAAAGTAATTTCCTAATCAAGAGCATGTTCCTTTTAAAATCCATTTCCATATTAATTAGGGGAAAAAATCTTGCTGATTATTTTGTAACTAAATTTTTGAAAACCAGATTATTTACAGTAATAACTTCTCAGAAGACATCTTGAGAAATTTTTTTTTTTTTTAATGTGGTGGTATACATTTTTATACTATTACATGTTTACACTTCACTGAAGTTGACCAGGCAATTTCAATACATTTCAGGATGACAATTATTTTTCACTGTACCGTATGAAACAAATATGTAGCATATTTCTATATTAGACATTTGTTTAGATTACTATCAAATTCTTAAAATTAATTGTAGGTCCAGGTGCTGAAAATCCCAAATAACAGCAGAACATAAAAGAAAACATTTTCAATTTCTAATGGCACCTTTTCTTTCCAGTATATTTCAGGAAACATATTCAACAAATGGAATCGTGGTTTTAACTTCATCCCAGATTCTCCTGTAAATGCTTACCGTTCATTCTTGCTTTGAGCAGTGACAAAGCATGTAATACACTGCTTACGTCATATGAGTTGGAGAGCCCTACCTGAACAGCCTACAGAGTGTCAGGTAAGCGCCTTTTACAAGAAGGTTAATGACTATGATTTGTAGAAGGAAAGAAGATAAGAAACTCAATACAAAATTTGATATTAAAAATTAACTTCCTAAATGATACTATATACCAGGAAAAACAAAACAAAGTTAAAAAAAAGGCAGGCACTCACCTCACTTCCCATAGACTGGTTACACGATCCAGCTGGGTCGATAGGACAACACCAGCTTAGTGGATGCTGGGATTTCACCTGGAACAGAAACTAGCGACCTATAACTTTAGCAGGTCTAAAACCAAAGAGGCAAAAATCACGTGTATAATTTACTTTACATTCTAAGCTTCTTTTTCTTGCTGCTATTTGGGGCTATCAGCACATAACCCTACAATTAGTTCACTTTTTATAAAAAAATAGATTTCGATCGATCACCATTCAAGAAGACATCCCTCTGGGTAGCTAGGAATGCTGAACACTCTTACCTGCCCCTTAGCATCCTCGGGCATGGCTTTAATGTGCATTCTTTTTAAGCAACGAATTACTCCATCATAAAACTGAACTGTGAATGTTCCTGAAATAGGAGCAAGTCAGAACTATTAGAAAATATTATTCAGCCTTACAGCAACAGTTGAAATCTGACAGGTAGGGTCCTGATGGAAATAAATGCTCTCGACTGAAGTAATTACAAACATGTACCTATTTTAAGGACACTATCAAGTTTATTATGCTTACTTTCTCCTCTAAAAACAATTCTGAACTCTTATTTCCTTTAAAAGGTATAGAAAATAAGTCTTAATATATTAGTTACATGAAATTCTAATTATCACTGAGAAAATTTAAAATTTACTTTGCAATAATCTAAAAATATGTATAGACTTAGAACATACCTGGCAAAAATAAATCATTATTTTCAAAAACATATATTTTTAGAGGAATTATCAATTGCTCTCTTTGCAAATAGTTTATAGAGAGGAATATCTGATATATGGGAAGGATCATTTTCCTCAATTATTCCTTTGGCAATAACAATGAATCTGCAAATAAAAACTGAAGATTCACAGACTTTTAAGCTAGAAAATACTCCCCAAATCATCTGGATAAAAGTCTGCATATGCAGATGAGAACTCTGAACTCCAGGAACATGAAATGCTGCCTCCAGTGACATTCGGCTAGGCAGGAGCACAGCCATAACACCCGGTCCCCCTCCAGCTATTCATGCCTTTCTTACTAACTCAGTCTGCCTTCTATGACTTAAGATTCTGTTTGCAAGTATCTTATAAAGCATATTCACTTTCTGTTGCAGACTGTAGGCCTTGAAGTCAACATAAGCCAGTACTACTAGAAAATACATACATTATGTAGATTTCATACTTATCGAAATGCAAACATTTTTTCTATCATTTCTTGTACAAATGAGGGCAGATTGTCATTTTAAGTGAACAAAGATTTGGCCTTTACAAAGACTTATAAATCATCGTTAACGGCTTTGAAGATGGCATCAAAGTCAATGACATATATGTGCCAAGATTTTTCTTTTTTTGTAATTTGAAAAGCAGCATTTGATTCCCTATCTTCCCACAATTAGAGTAGTGCACAATATCACAAAGATCTAAACCCAAGTTACGAAACATAAACTTACCAGTTGAATAGCAAGGATGTAAAGACACTGTAAACATTTTGAGGCTTCCAAACTACACAGAAACCTCATACCACCTGGATCACTGCATCTGTCCTCCTACTTCTTCAACAGGGCTCTTCAGAGCAGATGAAGCTCCTCGCCGGGCCATCTGCGCAACCCCGCTCATTCCCCCCTCCCTGCCTTCGCTCACCTACTTTCTCTGCCTTGATGCCTTTCTCCTTTCCTTATGCCCTCTGAACTCCAACCCACTCGTCACAGACCGGCTCTTCAAATCCCACCCCTAACGTGAAAATGTCCCTGACCACCGCAGTTCACATTTCTCTTCGTTTCTATACATCCTATTCCGAAAGGAAAAAAAAACAAAAGACGTTGCAGTTGAGTTGATTCCAACTCATAGTGACCCAACAGGACAGAGAAGAACTGCCTCACAGGGTTTCCAAGGCTGGTGGATTCGAACTGCTTGGTTAGCAGCCAAGCTCTTAACCACTGTGCCACCAGGGTGCCACACATCCTATTGCAGATACTTAAATGTTCACATTTATTAGTTTTGTTTTGTTTTTGCACTGAACAGGTTCCTTGAGGACTTCATTCGCCTTTTGGAGGGTTGTGGGGGGTGGGGTGGCAGGCTCATCCACCAAGTAAGGCATATAGAAATCACATAATGAATACTACTTCTATTGAAGATTAAAATATATATATATATCTTTAATATTTCACTATTCAAAGGGCTCATTCAAAACTCTCATGAAATGGCAAGTATCATAATCAGTATCGTCACTCCTCCACTAACGTAAGCTTAATTTTCTCAATTTGTTTTTGATGGCTCTATTACCCAGAACTGATTCATTCCTTCTTCCCTTCGTCTTCTCTTCCTTCCACAAGGTGTTACCGACTGCCACTCTGCGCTGGACTCTGGGCTCGACAGTGGGGAGCCACTGTGAGTGAGTGAATAAGAACGAAAGCTCTACGCCCAGTTCCCCAGAAGTGCAAGACACAGGCTGCACCGCCAGAGGAGAGGAACCTGCACATCTAAGGACTGAGCCGGCCCTCGACCTTCCTGAAGCAGGGGGACTGGCGGTAATAAAACCGTAGTCATATTTGTTATTTTAACTCATTAAGACAATAAATTGGATTAAGTCCTTTGTCAAGTTATATCACGATTTCTAGGTAGACTACTATCATTTACTTTTTCACTCCTTACATTCCTGAATACATCCCATTTTAAATGTTTTCCTCTTCCAGCTTTTCTTACCTATTTTTTCTCAAGCTTGATTTTAATTTAAATCCCTTCCATGGTTCCCATCACTTCCAAATAAAATTCAAATTCTTTGACAAGAGACTAAGACACTGCATACAGTGGTCCACATCTCTCTCTCTAACCTCTTCTCCCTCTATTTTAACCCTTCAGAAGAATCCTTCGCTCCAGTCACACCAAGGACTTGGAGTTCTTTAAAAATGGCATGCCTCTCTCACTAACATTCTTTTGCACACACCACTTTTTCTGCCAGAAAAGCTTTTATAGCCCTTCTTTATCCAGTTAACTTATCTGAATTTTAAGACTCGGCTTCAGGGGAAGTATCCCCTTACTTAGATTAAATGTTCTCGCCAAGAAACTCTCACTCAGTGTGTGTTTGTTTAGTAAACAGAATAAATGAGCGGTCAAGTTTCAGAAATAATTGTAATAGAAATCTAATGTATTACTAACTTGAAAAATATATCTGCAAGTATTTCACAATTGTTTTAAATGAGATTTTAAAGGAAAAATTAAAAAAAGAAAATACTTAAACATATCCTCATTAATAGTAATATACATATTAATGCTCCTTTTCAAATTAATCAGTCTACGAGTTCTGTTCTTTAAATTTATTCTCTGTCCAACAGATTTATCAGTCTTCTGTCACACTTGAATTCTGCTTTATTTTCAACATTTCTGATCACCTCAGCAACTTTTGCTCAGTATGTAATATTCTAACAAATGTCCACAAAAGGGTATTAGGAAAATAAACTCTTAATTATCTATAGAAATTAAGAAAGAAGGAAAGGGAGGAGAGAATCAAATTGATAACGTTTCATGCTCTTTCCTCAGAAAATACTGTACTGTATTTCATTCGTAAGCTGATCTGAATTTCCCTGTATATTTAACCTTTTTTCCCACTCTGGTTGGGGCTAGTAAACATAACTTAGCCAACAAACTGAAAACAAACAAGTAGAAATAAAAGCCTGTAAATGGAAAGCTGAAAAATTATAACCAACTATTTACCCCTACTAATTTAAGCCATTTATTTAGGCAGTAAATCATGGACCATCTTATTCTACACAACATATTAACAAATTAAATGCTCCCAAAGTCGGATGCTAGCAGGAAATGTATTAACCAAAATTTAAAACAGAGAGAAGTAAAAAGCTACACAGAACAGTTATATTTATTAATTAAAATTTAAAATATGGTTTAAATTTTACTATTAATCCCATTTTAAGTCTCAGATCATTTCAAATACATACCTTCTTTGTTAATTGCTTCAATCTTGGCAGGGTAATAGCGACAGTCTGTCCAACGAGCCAGAACTTCCTCTCCGGCTTTAAAATCCTATTTTAAACAACTTTTAAGATCAATACCATGTATAAAATAAATAAGCATTTCCTTAACAAAAATTGGCTTTTGTAAAATTTAAAAGAATTCCTTTTAAAATATGTCATTACATATCTAGCAAAACTAAGAAATGGAAGAAGTTTGCTACTTACAAAGAAATCTTCCTCATCTTTTAGCCCTTCTTTTCTTAGTGCTGGTCTCTCAAGGGGTCGCAATCTATTGCTATCCCAGTAAATCCACTCGTCATAACGATGACTCCAGCGCTCAAAATGGACCAACATCTTGCCCTCCTCATAGTCTATTTTTTCAATTCGTGATGGATACCTCAAAAATAAAAAGGAGCTTCATATCAAGAGGGAAATCTTATATTTGTTTAATCAAAGTATTAAATAGGAGAATATAACTAAAATATCGCTTACTATTAAAACCAAGAACAAAATAAAATGGGTCCACATTTTTAAACTATCAAACCAACAACGTTTGCTTCATTATTGTTGTTTTTTTTTAATGATTGTTCTCAAGGTCTGGTGAAATAAACACGTTGATACACTCCCGGCGGAAATATAAACTGCTGCACTGTTTTGGGAAGCAATTTGGCAACTAGCATCAAGGGCCTTAAACATATTCCTCCTTTTCACTCAGTAATTCCAGTTCTGGAACTATATACACAAAGCTGTTCACAAAGCATTATTTAAGGACCATCTAAAAATATGGTTGGAAAAACTGAAGACGGCCTAACCATACAGCTATAAAATAATGGTACATCCACTGAATGGAATACTATATAGTTTTTAAATGTGCTCTTTACAAAGAATTTACAATGTGAGAAAATGTGAGATAGCAGCACTTTGTTCAGCAGCATTATAACTGCGCAAAACATATTATGTCTAGGAAAAAACATGCCAACATGCACATCTGTCGCTATATGGCACTAATGCACTTGTTATTTTTCTGTATTTTCCAATACTTGATGAGCATCAATGACGGTGGCGAAAGCTCAGTTAAACTTTAAATTTAAAATTATAAAAATAATATCACATTGTTCAGTCTTCAAGTGTGATGGTTCTCCGCGATTAATTCCCATGTAGAAACTGGTTAACTCAAAGCTTCTAACAGTGAAAACTGCCTCTTCATTTCTAGTGTACTGTATTAAAATGGGAGCCCGGGTGGCACGGTAATTAAGTGTTTGGCTGCTAACCAAAAGGCTGGCAGTTGGAATCCACCAGCCACTCCCTGGAAACCCTATATGGCAGTTTTACTCTGTCCTATAGGGTCGCTATGAGTTGGAATCCATTCAACGGCAACGGGTTTTTTGGTATTAAAATGTTCACAGATGACTCAAATTAAAAAAAAACAAGAGTAGGGTTAAGCCACATTAAGAATTCAATAGCAGCATATAGTAGGTGAGTCAGCCACAACAGTTAATCTCATATTTTTGCTAGTTTTTGGTAAATCTGGATACTTTTCTTTCCCCTGTGGAAAAGTAGCTTTATATAAAAATTACTAACTTTGAAATTTAAGAACTGATTGCTACCTGCTTTATAGATTAATCATGCCACGCAAGGCTTTTTATATATTTCAAAGCCCTGAATTGTTCTCTGATACAGCTCCTTTAGTCTTTGACAGTCAACCCCACGCTGGTCCAATGATATTACTTGTAATTTCATCACACATACTATGCTCTGCCAAACATTTGTGCTTCTGCACATTTTCTTCATTCCGCCTTCCCCTAAATTACCCTTGCTTTGTACACTCACCATTCAAGCCTAGGTTTACCATGTAATCATTTGTGTGAAGGCTTTTCTGACTCCCCTTCGCTGCTGCTCTCACAATACTTAACATGTTATAAATGTCTCTGTACAAGTTCCTGAACTGTGTGCTGTCGTACATTTATATCTCTTGAGATGTTAATACGAGTGGCCCAAAAAAGGATCCTGTGGTCCAATAAGTTAGGCAAATACTGGATTAAAAAAGAATTAAACTGCTTTCTTCATTGCAGGACTTCTCGGCACTTTGAACAAGAGGCAGATAAAGCATCCAGTACTACCAAACTGTAGGAACCATGGAACTCTTTTTTATCATGGAATATTTACTAACATTTCTCTAGACAATAGAGTTCTAAGGCATGTGAAGTTAGAAATGCTACTATGGTGTGAGTTTTGGGGGGCACCTGAGCCATGTTGATCTTTGTACCCCAGCATCTATCTAGCGCAGTGACTGACACACATCAGGCACTCAGGGAATGGTCAACATGAAAAGAACTGATGTTAAAGAAAGATCATCTGCGCATTTCTTCAGAACTAAGAAGGCTGTCAGCCAAATTCGAACCTTCAGTTAGAGCTGACACTTGTTGACAGGTGGGAGTGGATGGAGGGAACATTTTGTTTAAAAACTGAATAAAAAACAAGAAAGCCTAGGAGATTAACGAGCCCTGAGGGGGACACGCTTACCTCACCCACTCCGAATCAATACTACAAGACTTGTCTTTTGCAGTGTTGTTGTGGTTTTGTGGGTTTTTGCAGGGCTTTGAAATATATAAAAAGCCTTGCGTGGCATGATTAATCTATAAAGCAGGTAGCAATCAGTTCTTAGATTTCAAAGCTAGTAATTTTTATTTAAAGCTACTTTTCCACAGGGGAAAGAAAGTATCCAGATTTACCTGCTCTGGTTTTTAAAACATAAAAATCATCAATGGCACTAAGTGAAGCCTAGGATAAGGTTGCCCTTTAGTTTACTTTTCAACACTTATTAGTCATTACACAGCTAGAGAAATTGTCTCTCAACTATAAAAACTGATAAATTTCTCAAAATACAGAGCCCCTGGTTTCACAGGTTTACTTTATCATCACATCTTTTCATTTTTTAATAAAAAGTAAGGGGTTTATTCTCTAGGTTCCTCCAAATTTTAAATGTACATAATGCTATGCATTTGAAACATTTCTCAAGGGGAGGAGAGTCCACAGTAACAGTCAAATATATTTTTATTTTCATAACATGATTCAATTCAGTAAAGAATCAGAATATAAATTAGTTCAAATAACTTAAATCTGGATTGCATTTTTAAGTAACTTATGGATTTTCCTGAAATATTTCAAGTTCTGTTAGCTGAGAGGAAGTCTGATGAAACAACCAGACTAAAAATTATATTTGGGGAACCTCTACAGGATAAGCTACAGCATGTTATACTTTCTACGTAAATATTTAGAAATTGACATGTAAACTTGGAAGGCCAAGAATTAAATAAGTAATGCAAATACCCAAGTTTATTGTCATTTTAATTTTTTATGTTTACTAATCAAATATTGAATGTTAAATAAAGGTGTCTGAAATATTACCATTATCAAGAAAGTTAAAATTTCTGTTCATTCATTCAACACATATTTAAATACCTATGAACAGCACTTGCTAGGCACTGTTGGCAGATAAAGAAACATATTAACTCCTACCATCAAGGAGCTCAGAGTCAGATGAGAGGAGAGAGAAGAGTTAGACTAGTTGCTGAATGTCAAGTGTGTGTCGAGTTCTATGTACTTTATTTATTGTCAACTGCTCTTTATAAGCATTGTCTCATTTGTTCTTGGCAACCATACAAGATATAGCTAACACAGTCCTCATCTAACAGATGAAGACCTGGTCAAGAATACATATGGCACAGCCAGAGTTCTAATAGGAGAAATGTATCTAAATGATTATATCATACAAAGTAAAACTGGGACGTGTGTACAAAAATTTTACCCAAGATGCTTTAGTAGTTCAGAGAAAACTGGGAAGTTCACTGAAGGTTCACAGCAGACATGAGCTATGTTAGACTTGGTGAGGGACTTCGAGGATTTAGACTTAATGAACATGGTACAAAAAAAGGTAAAGTATACACACACAGTATAAATCATTTATTCAATCAATGTTCATTTACTTAAAACCACCATGTGACTCTGGGTTAGACAATCAGCTAGACAATGAGGATCCAGAGACAATTAGGAGGTGGTTTTTGTCAAGGACCTCGAGATGAGACACTGGAGGGCACTGAAAGGAAACAAGAGGTAACATTCCCTTTGGCTAGACTGCAGGGTAAGCAGTAAGGCGAGCAAAGAAGAACAGTGGGAAATCAGACTGCACTGGTTAGCTGGGTCCAAACTTGAAGGGCCTTGCAATCAAAACGAATGAAATGAGCCTTTATTCTACAGACAACGGGGAGTCACTTAAAGCCTGTACTTCATTTGCCTATCTTTGAGTTACACAGGAGAAAAATATTGTAACATCAAGATCTTCGCCAAACATGTACAATTCACAAAACTGCAATTTAATATATAGTTCTATATAGTGAAATGATTTCCCTGTGGTAGCAGATGGCTCACAGTGATAACGCTTTGATACATGTAGTGAATGAAAAATACCGTTGAACAAACGTAATCACAAGTGCCTTTCTACCTTGAACTACACGATCATTTTGAGGCACTATTTATGCTTTATTATAACTAGGTATGAGTGAAAGGTTAAGATTTTTCTCATTAAATATGGACGGTGTCACATTAATGCTTTTGTTTTGTCATTTTTTTAAAGGCTGAATCATGGAAAGCTGCTAAAGTAAGGAATGGTGATTAGGCTAGGTCTTGACATTGATGAATGATTAGGAAAGGATCTGGGAAATAGGAGGCTGGGATTCCAGAATGTAAAGTGTCAGAGATAAGACACCAATAAAAACGGCTAGGGATAAGAAGAAAACAACTCTCAAGGATTCAACGAGAGATGGAGAGGAGACAATCTCGCTAGAAGCATACTTTAGCACTCCTCAATGCTAAAATTCTACATAGAGCTCTCTTATCCCTTATCACTTGTTACTGCAAAGTACCACAACATTCCCCCTACCTAATTTCCCTACTGTAATCCCACAGGCGGTCAGCAAAAAAGAGAAGGATCTCATCGAGATCAAATGACACAGTGGCTACAACAATGGGCTCAAGCGTAACAACGATTGTGAGGATGGCCCAGGCCCGGGCTATTGTACTTGGGGTGGCTGTAAGTTGGAACCGACTCAAGGCATGCAACAACAACAACAATCCCATTTAGATCCGCGTGCATTGTTCAGATGAAATTTACTTATGTAGAAAAGACTGCCTCTGTTGCTCTGGTTCTACCTTCCTCTCATTTGCCTTCTATACTTGAATCCTAGAGAACAGAGCCATAAATATAATTTACCCTCAGCAAAATTACAAGAAAAATAATCCACCCTAAAACTGGTTCTTTCTAGCTTATTAATTAGGCTTAGTGGAAATAAACAATATTCAGAAATACTGGTAACACTTTAAAATTACACTGGTGAATCT